AAAAAAAAAAAAAAAAAGAAAGTGTTAGCATTCAATACTTTTCTTTTGGCCAATTTATTCTGAGAGCAGGTTTCCCTTTACTTTCTTCTTGGACTCAGTGACTAGCAGCGTGAGTAGATGCGCGTAGCACGTGCAGATGCTGGCTTTGAGAGGCAGTGCTACAGAAGGCCTGGTAGCTTCCGGCTCATCAGAGGTATAGTTGATACAATATCAGGAAGTCGATTTGTAAGCTCTCTATAGCATGAAGCCCGTTTAAAAGAGGAAATCACAGCATTTTTACCACAATTAGTTCAGGGTACCAGAGAATATTCTATCAGCAAACTTGCTTCGAGGCTCCAGATTTCTTATGATTATAGCTGCTTCTGGCTCTCTCTCCTCGGATGGTAACGAGGCATTTGGACTGGAGGGGATAGGCTGGAAGTAAAGGGGCTCTGTGTGTTGACGAAGATGTTACCTGGAGACCTCGCTATAAGCGGAGAAGGCTTGACTAATGGAGTGTAGTCATAAGTCTTTTAGGTAGTTTACCTCAAAATATCTGATTGTTGGGTTTGACTTTACATTAAAGTCTTTTGCAAGTTGTTGGATTTTTAACAACTAAAAACTTAGTACTGGCAACCATTGACTTGACTAACCTACACTATATTTTTGGATCCAGATTTGCAATGGCATTATTTCAGGACCTATTACTAGGCAGTAAAAGCTGCAATCTCAAGTATTTGCTTGTGCAGTCCCCTGCATTCAGGACCCCCCGCCCCCACCTCTAAAAGAAACCTCCCGCAACCAGTTCTTCAGTATTTCAGTCCAGAAAAGGTTATTTCCATTTCTGTTTTCTTGCTACAAAGGCAGCAGAAGCCCCTGTGGCTCAGTTGTCTGCTTCCTTGTTTGTGTGTTAAGGTGGGGAAGAACATGTGGAGACCGCAGGTCCCAGCAGCTGATGCTCTGTCTGAGTCAGAGCCATTGGGGTCCAGAATTGCCGCATCCCTGCACCTAGGACCCATCCGAGGTGCCTGCACAGGTGTGTTGCAGGTGAGGGCGACTGCAGTCTGCTCCGTCTGACACAGATTAGGGGTGGCGCTCTGTGCCCTTGCAAGCTGCCAGTGCGATCTTAGGTTTGGTAACATTTGGGGTAGTGTCCTAGTGCATCGTGTTCCCCTCTGGCTCTGTAGCACAGCGTTGATCTGAAGAGCCAGCAGCAGTGCGAGCTGTGCCTCACACCATTCTTTGGGACGGATGGATTTTGTTCAGCTTCCATGTGGACTCGTGTTAGCAGTTACAGCTTTTAAGCCATGTCCAGTTCTGGAGGGAGGTTAGCGAGCGCTGCAGATGCTACAGACAGCAGCCAAGGGTCTAATGTAAGCGCTCCAGAAATGCAGTGTAGCTTTCCTGCGGTGCTTTCCTCTCCTTGAAAAGCCTCACCTGATGTGAAACGGGATGGCTTCAGACCTCATCCTCTCCCTGAGCTTCAAAATGCAATTGCTTCCCTCTGACATGCTTTCCAGTCTCCTCCTTTACATGACTGCGTGTCTGGAACATGGAAAGAACTGAGGGTTTTGATCCTTTAGCCTGTTTTGCTTCTGATTGGTGGCA